GTGTTTTATTCTCCCACGGCACCCCTCGGGCTGTGCTGGGGATTCAGTGCTCTGCTCTGCCTGGTGCTGGAGGAGACTGGAACTGGAGTGTGATGGTTGCTGCTGGGAAGGATGGGCTCTGGTGTGTGAGCAGTCCCTGCTTCTGTTCACTTCTACCACAATGGGCAAATAGTCTTCTGTCTTCAGTGCAAGCACCCAGGTCTGCTCTGCCGTGGTAATCTCTGGATGCATGCATTCCTGCTGCCTCTTGCTGGTTTTGTTGTTTTGTTTGAACAGCAAATTTGATACCTCGGGCAGAACAGGTTAATACCTAAAACAATGAACTGGCAGCCTGAATTCATGCCTGATGTTTCCTTGAGCTCACGCAGTTGAGACAGATTACTGCTGCTTCCCTTCCTTTAGTCTCCATTTTAAAATGAGAATGAGATTTCTTTTTTCCATGTTAAAGAGGGAAAAGAGAACAAAAATAACTTGAACTTTTTTTTTTTTCTTTTGAGAATCCCATTGAATAAATGTCCACACCTGAATGTTTTCTGTGCTTCTTTCCAGCTCCAAGAGGGGAGGGCTCACCGAAACAGGAAAAACCTGTGCCAGTTCTTCAGGAGCAGAAGGCCCCAGTGGAGTGTGTCTCGGCAGCCCCAGCAGCAGGAACACGTGGACTGCAGGTGAGTCACTGCTGCCGGCTGCTGTCTGGACAACGGGATAGCTGGCAGCAGGCTGGGGAAAAAAAAAAAAAGTCTTTTGTCTTCATGGGTTTGCAGTTCTTGGTAGGTGTGGTGTGTTGCAAATAGGGAGTGTACACAAAATCAGCCTGTACCTCCTTTGTACAGACGTTCTGAGAAGTAAAAATACCTTGCCCAGCATAAAGTCTCTTGTTCCCTTTCAGAAATCTGTTTTGTTTTTTTTTCCTGATTGGCTCCATCTTCCCACTGTGTCCCATTCCTTGTTAGGGAAACTGGAGGTTCCCACAAAGAGATGTCTTGTCAGAGTAGGTCTTACAGCCAAAGAGTTTCAGTTTGCTTAAAAGTTTTTGCTATTCAGTTTGAACTTTCTTTCCATTTTGATCCATGTATCTGGAATTCAGATGACAGGTTAATTTTTAAATATGTAGTGTTCTCTAATTATACTTCCTGTTTGATGCCAGGTCAACTTAGTAAATAGATCGGTTGTTATGAAAAATTACATCTTAAGGGAGCCATGTGTCTGACTACCTACAGAACTGGACTGGGCCTCTGGATTCTGTTCATTAGTTGGTGACACATTGTTTCTCATCTTTCTCTTTCCTATTTAGCACAGGGACTTTTTCTTCTTTCTGTTAATTAGCATTGTGTGAAACATTGCCCTGACCAGAACTGGAGCACATAAGCATCATAGTAGCTTAGCTTCAGTTTATTTTCTGATGTTATCAAACTTAATAGGACAAATGCAAAGGGTAAATTATTGAGTAAAAATACTTCAAGAGATCAAGGGAAAAACTGTCCTGTGCCATGGAACTGCAGCGGGATCTCACTGGCAGTGTTTGAGGACAGAATTAACTTTGTTCATGGGGACAAGAAATAGGAACACCAGGCTTGCTCCAGCTATCATCTTAATTTTAACAGATGTTTAGAAATATATCAGGACCCCTTATAAAAAAAGAATGCCAGTCAGAGCCCATTTTTTTTCCCTGCTTCCTTTGTATAGTTACCTTCAGCCAGAATTAGGTTGCTGCTTTGCAGGAAAAAAACATTGCCCACTGCAAGTCTTGTTCCTATGCCTAGAAATATGAAGTTTTGGGAGACAATAGCAGTGAGACAGCCATCAGTGGCAGCCTGAGCTGACTAATGACAGGTATGGAAGTCAGCAGGCACCAGTTGGCAAGTACTTCTGCAACTCAAACTGGGTCACGTTGTCAGTGAGCTTTGTGTGGTTGTGTCACATAGTGTAATTAACCTCAAAAACTCCTGCTTTGGTTTTGTTCTTTGAGCAGATCAGTGTAGTCAGATCTGCCCTGCTGCTTACCTTAGGGAACTCCTGTTTGTTTTTGTTTTTTTTTTTTCTCGCTCTCTCTTGTAGTTAAAGGAAGTGCCAGAGTTGCAAAGGGAGCTTCAGACCATGAAAATAGCCCTTGCAGAAGCCAACATGGACAAAGCTCGCCTTCTGCAGGAAATTAGGAAATACAATCCCCTCTTCCAGCTTTGACAGTGAGGGCCCAGGCTGCAGCTGCTCGGGAGGAGTGGAGATTACCACCAGCACTAAGGCGGCTAGTTGGATTATATTGCTGCTAAACGGGTCAACCTCCTGGAGACTGATCACCTCGAAGGATGGAAACCAACTGCGATTGCAAAATGAACTTGAAAGAGGGAGAAAGGAAGGCAGACAGGCTTGGCTGAGCAGCAGGGGAGGAACAAGGAGTTACCTGTTTGCAGCCACTTTCCTCTGTCCTGGCAGTACGGTGCTGCCTCTGTCACTGACCCAGGGCAGCAGTCAGCCTACAAACAAAAGGTCAGAAGTTGGGGGGGGGACACCCCATGTCTCTTCATCCACGGGTGGCAGTGACAGTGTGCTTTCAGCCTTCACCTTCCATGCTAACATCCAGAGATGGTCTGTGGTGGGGTTTCTGCTTCTTTCAACCTTCTTCATTGTGTTCTTGCCCAGTCATGCACGCCAAAGAACACGGCAAAAGGAGTGTGGTTACTTCACCCCATCAGGAGTGACAGAGAACAGGTCTGGCAGAAAACATCGCCCAGAGCTCTGATGTGAAGGCACGTGTACTGTGGCCCGGGAACATGGGAGGTTGGTGGGTGTGGGAGGTGCAGAAGGGATTTCCCCCCATGGACTAAGGGGCTACAGCTAACTATTCCCTCAAGAACAGGGTCAGGATAGTAAAGAAATTCCTTTGGGCTTCTTTTTCCACCAGTAATTTGTTGTGTTGAGGCAGAATGGGTAGTACGTTAGACTTAGTCTAGTTCATTCTCACTTAATCCTGCAATGATTGGCTTCATTGATGCAGAAACAGAAAGGAATTAATTGATTTCATTACAAAGCACTGTTTAAACTTTCTATAATTTTGCTATCAAAGAACAGGGGTGAAGAAAGTTGGTTAAGCCACAGAATGAGATCACCTGTGTGTTTTCTTTGGTATGTATGCTGACCTCAAGCCATTGTATGAGAGTTTCACCAGTGGAGAGAGGGAGAGCAGCACTGACTGCACAAGGAAAGAGCTGTCTGTTCGTACCCAGTCGTGTATTTTTATTAGCACTGAGCTCTTCCCTGGTCCTAGGTGACTTTTAACAGGGATGTTGGTATGCGGGTCATGAGAAGGGTGCTGACCCGGCCCCCTTGGGTGGAAGCTGACATTATTCACTGCTCACTGTGAGGTGGAGATGAAGCAGGAGCTGCTGGGTTGAGCGTGGTTTGTATTCTCACCTTTTCTAGAGCTGCTTCCCTGAAGAGGAGTAACTCTCTGTGGTCAGTGACTGACTTAATTTATAAAGAAATCGCCTCTACAAGTGTGGAGGGGCAAAAAGAAATCCCTAGTAAAACATTAAGTAAACACTAATTTTAAGAAGTAAAAAAAGAAATTTATGAACTGCAAGAATCAAATCCACTCCTGAGGACAAACTGGTATGTGGTTTCTTTGCTCTACTAGTGCAGGCAGTACGTGGCCAATGTGCTGAAGAAGGTGGCAGTGCAGGGGACAGTTGTGAAGGGGGAGGCTGTTCCTGAGCAGACCCTGCTCTCTGCTCCCATACGGAAGGGTGTGACTTTCAGCCTGTTCGGGATGAACACCCCTTCCTGCCCCTTTATCTTCACTGTGTGTGGAATTTGTTGGATTTTATCTTTTGATTTAGATTTTTCCAGATGCATTTTGTCTTCTGTAAATGTTCCGTTTCTGATGCACAGGCTTTTAATAGTGCATGTAAACCAGACAGTGATTGCCACACGCTAAGTGCTAGGAAAAGTGACAGATAAGTGATTCCTCTTTATTAATCAGATGAAAACATCACTTGTCTGTAAAGGTTAGGTAACCCTTACTGGTTTTTAGCTGAACACACTCCCCAAAACTTTAATGGATTTTTCTATTTTTTCTATGTAAACATTATTCAACTGAAATTAACTTAGCTAAAGTAATACAAGATTTTAATCCTGCTTGCTGTGCAAGGAGCAGCCTCTGATTAACAAGCCATAAGGAGCTGAGGCCTGGAAACTATGCAAAAGCAAACAAATGAGTTGGGAGTTGAGTTTGTTTTTTTCCTACTGTGCTCTTTCATAGTTGTCCCTTTGCCCAGCTCCGGAGCTGTTGAACACTTCCCCCTAACAGGCACTCGGATCATTTCAGTTCTTGTTTAGCTCTAAGGGAAATGGGGATGTATTTACAGCGCTGGGCTGGATGTGGAGACGCTTCTCTCTGTGGTTTGCGGGCAGCCAAGAGTGAATTCCTTGTGGATGTTAACTTTTACTTTGAAAAAAGAGGGTATGTAAGAGAGGGATGGTGATTAAAACAACTGTCACTCTTAAGATCATCTTAAGATGGTAGCTTTGAGTAACTTCTGTTGGAATTAGTCCTTGCACGCTGGGCTTCAGCAGCTGGCCCTGGGGTGGGCTGTGCTGCCGGAGTCCAGTGTTTCTGCCCAGACCTGACTGCCCCATGCCTACAACCAGATGTGACAGCACCAGCGAGGACCTGCCCTTCCTTCTAGAACCTCTGGAAGCAGGCAGCCACAAATGAAATAAGAGGAGGAGGACTTGCCTCTGGCAGAAGCATGGGAGCTGTTCTGCAGGAGGCTTCGCGCTCGCCACCCGCCTGGCCTGCACTAGCTCTGACGTGGGGGTGCTGGGACTTCTGCCTGTTGCTTTCCCTCCTCCACAGCCTGGCTGCTTTCCCTGGAGCATGTTCCATGACCCATCCCCTGCTTGATGCAGCCTTTGACAGGTTTGTGGTGCTGCCTATGATGGAAGATGTGCCTGTCAGGCCTGTTTTTGAAAGGAAAATGCACTTTAACTTTTTAAGCGTCAGCGGGCATTTCCTTCACCAATACTGCCTCGTGCATAGAAGAATTCAGAAATAAAAGCAGGTGTTTTGAAATGCAAGTTATCTTCTGTAGAAATTAAGACTTGCTGTGAGAGCTGCTCACAGCAAGGAAGGAGGTAACAAAGCATCTCTGTCTCTAGACTTGCTCTGAAACAAACCTCTCTGCAAACAGCTCACTGTAAGTACCATTATGACCCGCACAAAGCCCACACGAGCAAAAGCTGAAGTTTTAATCAAACCTCCGTGCTTCTGTGCTTGCTCCCTCTTCCTGTATGAAGCAAGAAATATAAGAATGCTTGCCTTAGGTGGAATGCGACGGTATTACTTTTTATTCACTAATTGCTTGAAAATGGGAGGTTTCCTTTCTTCTCTTTCTGACTTCCATGACATTTTGATTGAGTAGGTGTCCAGCTTCATCTCCAGCTACCTTGGGAAATGAGTAGGGTGCAAAGGCTTTTCTCAGAGGTGGTGCCTACTTGCTGTGTCACAACCCCTTACTGCTCCCTCCCACGTGTGCAGACTGAACAGAGCTGGGGCCAGGTTGTTTACAGCAAATTTCTTGCTCCAGCAACTTAAGTCAGTTGGTTTTGTTTAAGCACTTCCATTGTTTTGGGTTTTTTTTTAAGTACCAGTAAAAAGTACTGTAAAACAAAATCCACATCCTTTCTACAAGGCGTATGTGTGTGAGGACTAAAACTCCTCTATCTCCACAGCTGATGAGCAAAGTTTACTTTGTAGAGGCTTCCATTTAAGGACTCTTTCTATGTTAGGATGAGAGGCAGCTTAATCCTTTGTGTAACTGCAACACAGTTACCCTAGGATAAGCACATGGCCTCAGCATCTTTTACAAGTAGGAGAAATTAGGGACTACTGTATGTACAGGTGGGTAATGTGCAAGTCTGAACTTGAATTTGAGTTTTAGGCAGTATTGGAACTTTGTTGCAGTATATTTCCACTCATGCATTTATTGGTTCTATGAACCATGAAGAGAAATTAAACTTGTTAACCTCCTTACAGGCTCCTGGGTTTTGGTTTTTGGGATATTTTTCTTCCCCCTCCCCCGTTCCTAACTACTGTTTTCTAGACAGCTCCATAAAATGGGCTTTGGGAAGAACAGCCGGGTGATGACTTCAGAAGCATCAGCTTTCAGCCTGCTCCCTTCCTTATGCTAATGGAGCAATACCTGCCCCAGGCAAGGCGAAGCCTCCCCAGCATGTCGGGCTTGGTTGAGACAGATCATCCCCTTGCTCTCTCCCTACTTGGAATCACACCAACACCATTACACAATTAGTATTTCCCAGCGAGACTAAGACCACAATAACAAGTTTAATGAAGAAGGAGACACGGTGCTGCACACAGACACCCCTCTCTCTGTGCCAGCAGAAAGCACGACCCTGGTGGGTGAATCCACGGAACACCAGGAACATTCCTGTCCCAGCTGGGTTGAAATGGAGGAGCCCCAGGCTCCAGGGCAGGGACGTGGCTACTGTGTCGTGCTCAGAGGAGCAGCCCCGTGCAGGGACCCTGCAGACGTTCAGTCTGTTCACTGCTCCTGAAGGACCTGGAGGCATGTAGCTTGTGAGGGTCACACCAGGAACCTCAACTTCTGTCTTCTCTTGCTGTTCTCAGGACACTTCAGTGGAAGATGATCTTTTTATACTTGGAATTGGGGATCTGTCCTCGTGACTTGAGCCTTCTGACGGCCTCTCGCATGTGTTTGGGCTGCAGGGGCGGCAGCTCCCCCCATTTCTCACACACATCCAGTGCTACACACCAAAACCCAAAGAGTTCACATCAGCAGGACGGCTAAGTTTAGACAGCCTCTTCCTGTTGGAGCTTTAATTTTAAAGGCAACAAGTAACATTTTCAGCCAGGGTTTACAGCTCACAGCTGTACACAAGAAGAAAACCCCTTTTGTGTGCTTCTAGTCTGAGTCAGTCCTAGGGGCATCAGTACTGGACCAGAATAAACTTTTTAAAACACTTGGCTTCTCTGGACTATGATGGTTTGAGTCACGTAAGAACTTATGATCTTAAACCTTCTGCTTTCAAGCCAGCCCTAGGCTGGGTGCTGTGTTTGGGGGTGTTGGGTGCAGCAGTGACAGGAAGATACAACCTGCAGTGCGCTTAAATCTTCTCTGTCACTTACAGTAAGTGTCATTTACACCTTCTGCCAAGGACATGAAGCAATTAACAAAATGAAACAATTAACGACAGCAGGGAAGCTGCTTCACCAAGCCACCTCAGGCAACACAGCACTGCAGAGACAGGAGCAGCAAAACTGCATCTCCCCAGTAACAGCGAGCCAGGCACAGAGGCCACATTTTGTGTGACAAGTCCATAGGACCCCGTTGGCACCCAAGGTGGCACCGGCGCCTCCTCCAGCCCAAGCAGAGCAGGCACATGGCAGGGTCAGCCTCCCGCTGCTGTCCCAGAAGGATCTCGGCTCATCCCATACGGGAAGGCTCTTAGAGGTTAAGAGGCTTAAGTAATTCATTTCCCTCTGGGCTGAATTTGTCCTCAGCAGCATTAACAAAAGATCTTTACTGCTGCATTGTTGCAGCCTGCTTACTGAGCAAGACCTGCAAAGTTATCCTCCCTGGAGAGGAGGAAACAGGAGGGCAGCGGTCACCAGCCTCTGCTGCCTCACAGGCAGGGTCAGAGGAGAGTGGGAACCCCCACGCTCCACCCCACTCCTGGCTGCAGTGTTCTGCTGCTACTGGAGGGGCTGAGCGCCCCGTGGGACAGCAAGACTGGGAACCACAAAGTGTCCAGTCTTGTTCCGTGTCCTGCTCTGCTGTGGGCAGTGAGTTCACCCCAGATTCTTACCTTTTCACTCAATGTTTGCCACTCACCTTCCTCTACCACCTCCCCAACGAAGACCTTGGAAATGCCAGACATGGCAATAACCACATTCTGAGAGACAGAGGTGCCGGTGATGGACTGGATCAGCTGAACAAGCGGAGAAGGACAGTCAGCTGAGCGAGGTACAGCAGCAGTGAAACATTTTAACTCCTACTGAGCAGTTTGAGCCTGTCAAGTATCACCAAAGGCTACTGAAACAGAACAGCAGTAACAGAGCTTTAGAATTAGGTCCTATGGCTCTGAGCACACACGGCTGTCAAGGTTTTAGCTTCCCCTCACTCAGCTGCAGACCCTGTACCAGCAATTACTTTTTCCTATTGCCTCACAGGCCCCCAGCCCACTGTTATTTAAGATGAGCTCTTATTTAAACTGCATAAGCTGCGGGAGGGCACTAAGCTAGACCATAATGGGATAAGCTGATCTGATAATGGCCTCAGCCACAGGGGCTGAGATACAGGTGGAGGGGGGAGCACCCAGAGCCTGTACATGCCATAGAGCCAGCTTGTGTTGTGCAAGGCCTAGATAAGGCCACGGCCAGGCTTAGTGAGGCTCAGCCTGCTTGGTCTGCTCAGTGTCCATAGCAAAGCATTACTGAAGTCGTACCCGTTTAATAGCAGCTTTGGGGAAAGCAGATCGGCGATACATCTCGTAACGGTTCAACTGTTCTTCAGAAAAGGAAGAGACCAGTATTCTGGAGCGGAGAGAATTGATTGTTTACAGCAAAAATAAAAGTCTGAAGTTCTTCAGGCTCCTGCACCAATCCTGCAAAGCCCTTCCACCCTCCCAAGTATCCTGAAGCACAAGGCTGAGACAGGTGCCCCTGTGGTGCCAAGGTTTGTAATGCAAAAGGGCGGGACCCCTTCGGGAGGGATTTAGGTCGGAGCTACGGGATTTGTTAACCACGGGCTCATGAACTAATGAAACGATCACGGTGGCAAACCCCGTGCGGTGCCCTCCTGAGTATCAGCATCCCCAGGCACTGCCGTCCGCCGCCCCGGCACTCACTGCATCTTCTGAATCTCATCCTCGTCCACTTTGTGCTTCTTCTCCTTCCTCTCCTTCAGCTCCAGCTTCACCTTCTTGGCCGCGGACGGCTGCAGGCTGGGGTCCTCCCCGTCCACGGCCTCCCCCTCCGCGCTCCTCACCTAGGCGAGAGCGCAGCGTTCGGCTCGGCGGCCCCACAGCCCGGCCGGGTCCCGCTCCCCCCTCACAGCGGGCCCGGCCC